TGGTAAAAGAATTAAATGAAGTAAAAAGTAAAAGAATAAAACAAAGAAAATAAAAAGCCAAGGTTACTTATCTAGCTGGGACTGAACACCAATGAGAAGAGATGAGTTTTCAGCAGTGTTTTAAAGTGCTCAAGTGACTATGCAGCTCTAACCTGATAGGGTAGGCTGTTCCACACCTTAGGGGCCACCACTGAAAAGGCTCTATCTCCTCGAGTGCAGAGCCTAGACCGAGGTTCTGTCAGAAGCAGCTGGTTTGATGACCTAAGAGCCCTGCCAGTAGTGTTAGGCTTTAAAAGCTCTGATAAATAAGATGGTGCCAAGCCATTTAAACATTTTATTAAGCAAATAGTTATTAGCCAAAGCACACTTTTGCTTATTGCATGGGCTCCTAGGAGTGAAATCCTGCAACTTATTTGTGCTTCCTCCAAACGGGGTCTCAATTCTATGTGTCAAGTTTGGCTTTGATACATCATAGAGTTATTCCATGTCAATTCAACAAATGGTTGTTGCACCACTTTCTCAGATCCTCCTCAAATTTTTTTGGGGCATTATTTGGGTAATTTTATGAACAAATGCAGAGTATTTGTATGGTGATAATACATACAGAACAAGCAGTAATGACCTAACCTGATACCCATAGTTGGTCTAAACGTAACCCTTGCCTAAAATTTTGGTATTTTAAATTACTGAAAAATGCAATTCTGACTCCTTTTACAAGGTCAGATTTTTTTTCCTTCCAAAATTTTTACTCTTTTGGTGAGAAAAGTATAGAAATGTATGAAAATCAATAAATCTTGGACTGTGGAATTTCCCTAAATGTCATTGTTTCATGGGCGACTTTATTTTGGGTCTTACATACCTATATTCTATGGCTTATTCTTGTAGAAAAGACATGGAAAGGATAAATTGAACCCCTGCGGACAAGAGTGGTCTAACTCCATTTTTCATAGTTTAGAGATAATCTATGCCAAAGTTCAAGCCCTGGATAAAATTGAGGACACATGTAGGGTTTGCCATCTGTTGTTAACCTGAGAGTAAATGACCGTGTTTTTCAAGATAACACAACTTTTTTTCCGCAAAAGTAATGTTTCAGAGGTTACTCTCTCTAATTTTTCTGAAAAAGCCCCTTTTTATAAGTTAGACCACTCTTGCACTGGCTGCCTTAACAAATGTAACTGACTTAAGACAAGTAAATTAATAACTCAATTTTAATAACTGAATAATAGCTTTAATTTCCGGCATCCTTGGAATTCGAAACACAAAATAACAAGAGAATACAGATCAAAAGTGAAACATTGTATCGCAAACTGCTGACCACTGAGAAAGTCATCCATCAGCTAATCTTGTTCCTCACAGGTGTCTTCGCTCTCATCATCTGGATGAAAGTTTGGGTTATCTTCATCTTCGATGAGACCCAGATAAAATGAGTGGTGGACAGGCAGTACAAGGTGGAGATCATCTTTCAAATCCTTGACTTTTGAAGGGTTCAAAGAGTTAGACCACTGTTGCACTCACGCTTTTTGTCTTAATGGAAGTGAGGATAACTAAAAATCCCTGTATAGTAAGATGCATCATTGTGACATCTAGACCACTTATGCCCTGAATAGATTTTACCTTTAACTTGCGAAATATGGGTCTAACTCAAAAATGGGAAAATTAGAGTTAGACCACTATTACACTCAGTGACTCAATTTTCTTCTTTACTGATGAGAGTTGCATAAGACAAAAGTTTTAAAACATTGAAATAAAGCTCAGTTATTAATTTATAGGCCAGTGAAGTCAGGCATAGACCCAAAATAGCCTAACTTTAGGCATCTAAAAGTGCATGTGGGACACATGGTACGGGGTTAAAAATTTTTTTTGAAGAACTAATATGTGGAGTATTTGTGAACTTACTTTAATATTTGTTTCTTGTGCCTGAGAAATGCAACAGCTAAGGGGTCATTCCATATGAACTCAACCAAAGTACAAGAATCGTCCGTTGTCACCCACTCAGATTTGGCTCAAATTTATTTTGGGAGTACCACTATATTCATAATGAACACATGCAAAATTTTTGCGTCCTACTCCTAGGGGTTTACAAGATATGGCCCCCCAAAAATCGAAGGCCATGCCCAAGCGAATCGCAAATGTTAATTTATAGGGATTTTGAAGGCCAATATCTTTGGAACAAATCATAGGTATGGGCTGAAAATTGTTATCCAGGGTAATTTGGGTGCAGGCTTTTAGAATCTCTTGTCAAAATGTATCTATGTCTTTTCATTTTCAAGATATTATCCTCTCAAATATGACAATTAGCGTTGGTGGAAATCAAAAATTCAGTTTTTAAGGGCCCCCTATGAGGTTCAAGCAGTTCAAAGGACAGTAATAGTGATGTAATAAGCGGTGCACCTAGTACATGTATTACATGGGTCCTAAAGCAACACTTTGCTCATTAATGTAATATATATTAGTTAGACTTCCTAAAAAACGCCTATGAAAACATCTTGTATTTTTCAGTTAAATTGGCCATGAAAGATTCTAGAAACAATGTCCATACTTGAGATATCAATTTTTCCGATGTTTCTTGTTATACAGACTAAGTTTTGTGTTTCTACTCCATGTCCCACATTGGTTTCTGTGCTTAAATATGCATGGTTCCTCTTTTCCTCCAAGATGGCAGCACGTCTTTACCTGTCTGTATGTCTGCGCGAATGTTTATGTATTACAGGTGCATCTCAATAAATTAGAATATCATCAAAAAGTTGATTTTTTGCAGCAAATTTGATTATTCATTATTTTCAGAAAGTATTGGATCAGTTATTGAACATAGTTCACTCAAATCGGGTTATAACCTTTGAACCTTTTTTGGCTCCTCTGGAATTGCAAGAGCAGTGCTCTGTTTAAGGGGGTGTAGCGCTGCAGCGGGGCGTGGCACAGACAAGGCAGGAAACAGGAATTAAGGGTCGATGGGCTTTTATTCAAAAGGTATGGGAACCAGTCCTTCTGGCTAGGTGCAGGGCAGTTCCCAGCCTCCCTCTAGGTGGGAGGGCAGGGGACAGCCAGGGCAGGCAAGGCTGGCTTGGTGCTGGAGGAGAGGGCGCTGGGGTCTTTTGTTGAGCCACAGGCTCGGTCTTCCTCTGTTCCTGATTCTAGAACAGAAAGGACACATTAGCTTGTGAACTCACAGGCCGAGGTCTGCCAACTCTCTGCACTTGGCTGGGCCTTTTGTAGGCAGGCAGCCAATTAGGAGGATGAGCTGCAGCTGGTCTCCTGCGCTGGGGAAATTGACTGCCTGATCGAGGCTCCTGCCTCTGTCCAGGCTTGAGCAGGGAGGAGTGGTGCTGAACTGTCTTGGAGTTGTGGCGGAGCTGTCCCTGGTCCTGAAGTCCTCCAGTGAGACAAGGGGACAAACAGAGGCGTGGCCCGTGTGCGGGCAGGGGCGGGGATTCCTATCCCTGCACCACAGGCGGTTACATTTTTCATTTAATTCTTCAATCTGTTTTTGCACATCCAACAACTCTATGTCTTGAGTTTGTAGCCGACTGTACATTTTGTCACACTTCTCTATAAGCTGTCGGTGTTCTGTATTTAAGACAGAGGTACCATGAGCTGTCCTGTTTTTCTTTTGTTTTAACCACCAATCCAACAAATCCGGTGTAGATCCTTTTGGATTCCAGCCGTTTTTGGTCATCGCCTTTTCCTTTTTCCTCAAGGTGTAGCCTAATATCTAGTTATGAGATAGGCCTTTAGCAATGTACAAACGTGCGTAACTGGCGAGTACCTTACTAAACTTATGGTCAAGAATAAAACCAATACAAAACAATAAAGACTTAGGACAATATAAAACTTAAAATGCCACAATGACGCAATTCACAGCGGGTATGAGCAGGCTTCTCGAATTTCCACAAGACAGGTTGGAGGCGCACCACATGCACTCTCTCTCAACCAATAACAAAAACAAAAAGTACCCGAGTGACAGACGCTCCTTGTCTCTCACTCTCGGCCCGGGGCGCTGACACTAACTCTTTCGGAGCATGAACCGAAGAAACAAAGACACAATATGCGCTTACGTAGGCAACCTAATACCCAGTCGTGTAAATAATTAGTCACGTCTGCGACTTGGGCGACCCACGTACGCTTGCCATGGCCACGCAATCACTTATTCGCCTTTTTGGGGTGAATTTTCACTCTCCGAAGGCAGGGATGACCAACATTCACCCCATCACAAAATAGCTATGTTTTCAATTCATAGGCCTGTATCACACAACAGCACTGGTACCACAAGCAGTGCTGATAACCATACCAAACAAACAAATTATGCAAAGATGCAGTTTTTTAACCACGAACAACTGATCGCTTCTACACCGGTCAAATTATAGTTATATAATTATAATAGGTTAATGTACCACTCGGTGGAGCGTTCCAGATCTCCGCAGTTTTGCCTTAAAAACTATATTGTGATAAAACGAAGAACTCACTTTTCTTGAATTGGTCAGGAAACTCACGGAGGTCCGGAAATGAATCCACCCTGCTCTGCAGCGCCAAATTTGTTAGAGAATCCGAAGTTTTACCAGGAACAAATACGTATTATGACCGTCATCCAAAAGAAGCAGACCCAATGTTCATACAAAAAAATAGGAAAGTATTTATTACATGAGCCAGTAAGGAAACAAAATCTCAGAAAAATGTTCATTGAAGCACCGTTTATAGCATTACATTTGCATACATTCAAATTTGTGTGTATCATAAGTTTTGACCTCTGATTGGTTGCAAGCAGTTGTGTGCCATGTTTGGCACTGTGGATTGGATTATTCAAATCCCGAATGGTCGTGGGGTCTCGCCCTCTTCTCCCCAGTGGACTAGTGGAAAATCCCCAAAGGTGGAACTGGCAGCGGTCATTAACATATGCGTGTGAGGCGACCTAATACACAAATCTGTCTGTTGTCTGTCAACTGTATTCAAAGGCACAAATTTGTTTGTTTCCTCACAGTTGCGCTGGAGCGCTCAAAGGGCCGTGGGGCGGCATGGCCCAGGCGGTAGAGCGGGCGGCCTAGGAATCAGAAGCTTCCTGGTTCAATCCCCGGCTCCTCCTGAGAACGTGTCGAAGTGTCCTTGAGCAAGACACTGAACCTGATGTGCAGGGTGGTGCCTTGCATGGCAGCCTCCGCCATCAGGGTGAATGTGAGGCATAGTTGTAAAGCGCTTTGGGGTCATGTGACTAGAAAGCGCTATATAAATGCAGTCCATTTACCATGCGCTCAAAGCAGAGACATGACACTTGCGGAAAAGAATCAAGGGACTGTCCCCAATCAGTATGTCAGATTTCAAAACTTTGTAATGTATGGCTCTAGGGGCTGCCATAAACACCTTAGCAAGAATAAATTGTTTCAGAAAAAAGAATTAAAAAAGGTAGAAACACAATAGGGAGCTTCAGCAGCTTTGCTGCTTGGCCCCCCAAAAGAGAGACAGAAGGTAAGGGGAGTCATTGCAAGGCTGGGTTTGGGCACTGCTCCCGAAAAAGTGTTGAGACGGGAAGCTTGCTTTTGGTATTCTTGTTTGTTTTCAGTGTTCCTAGCAGAGATTAGAAGCTGGGTGTGTCAAGGCAGAGATTCACTCTGCTAATGGACTTTGAGGGCGGCCAATGTATGATGACTTCCTGTGGCTTTTTAATGACTGTAAGTGAGGTTAGACCATTAGTTAATTGATGTCATTAAAGGCACAGTTCACCCTAAAATGATTTTTTAGATAAATTGCCCCCTTTTTTTTTTTTTTTTTTTTGCCCTTAGAGAGACATGAAATAGCTTGCATAGATCTACTTCATACACTCTTTTCAATTTGATTTCAACTTCTGTCATCCTATCCAAACATGATACTTATGACAGCCTGGATGAATTTAAGTTATGATTTTAGTGCATCTAATTTATTTGGAATGCAGTTAAATCTGGGAAAATTTAGCTATTCCAAGATAGAGATACAATTTTTGTAAGTGATCAGCAGTGCTGACGTCATCTAGCTGTTGAGTCTGCCTGACCAGCAGTTCAGCCTTCATTCCCTAAGGCAGCCACTGGGGAAGGGTTAGCAGGAACATCTCAGTCAAGTATCCCTAGGGCACTTTATTCCATTGCTTATAAAGCAACAATAAACTTATTTTTTCTGGATACCAACATTTGGAGTGGAAACCACAGCCATGTTCCTATATTTTTTGCTTTTACTTTGCTGTTGCAGTTCAGCAGTGTGTAATAGTAAGTATTCACTTGCTCTTGATTATAAGTTATTCAGCATGTCAAGGTAAAGAGGTTGGTAAGGTGGCAGAAATTAATACAGAGCATATTTTTCATAAATATGATATGGGATATATTTTCTGAGGATGACTTATAAAGACTTAAAAATAAGAAACAACAATGAGAAAGGCATTTGTGCATGAACCAGCATGATGAAATGGCTTCTTATTTGAGTTTTACACAGTTTATCACAGATTTACAGCGCGTCAGTAATATACTTTCAGAGAAGTCAATGGTTTATGTGGTAAAATAAGTAAATGATGATCAGTTTCAGTCGCCTGTACACTGTAAAGTGTAATAAGTTGACTTTACTGAAAAAAAAATGCAAACTTGTTGCCTTAAAAAAAGTAATTTATGTTGACTTAGATAAATTAGATTTGATTAACTTATTTATTGTGAGTGTGCAGTACTCAAATTAACCTAAATAAATTGGATTATAGTCACGTATTTATTGTGAGCTTCCAGTATTCAAATCAATGGAGTTCTGATAATTTTTTTAAAGTAAATTCACCTTAATAAATATGTGCTGTGAAACTTAATTCTCTTCAGTTTTACTCATCCATTATTTTACGATCAACTTAACTTTACACATGCTAATTTACAAAGTAATTAAAAACACATTATCTACACTATAAATGTAAACATACTGTTACAAACATGCCTTGTAGATCTTAAAGTGGCTTTATTATTTCACATTTCACATTCACACAGATTTTTAAGGAAGAGTTATAATCTGAGCTGTGGTCTTAGACAACACACTTCACCAAGAAGGTAACCATTAACCTGTGGGTTAACATGTAAACAGGAAGTATAATAAAACATGAGATCTTAACCACAACTAAAGCTATCAAATTCATCACAATAATATCACCTGTAATGGACTAATACTTGTATGAAATAACGCAGTAAACATTACACCAGGTAACTAACAGCACTCTGGGTAACAGATCGTCTACACAGGAACTGCTTGCTTGCAACACATGGACTTGCTGCTAAGGCTCACTAGCAGGAAAGACAGAGGTTTCTTCAGTCATTACAATAAAAATTAATTAAAACTGCCTGCAAACTAGCCGCTTTTCGGCAAAATTCACTGTTTTGAATCCAAAATAGGTCATTGGGTTTTTTTGTTTCGTTTGTGGGGGGGTATTGGCTGGTATGCTAATAAGGGACGTCATCTGTCCGAAACTCGGCAGCAAAAAAGAATTTCGCTCCCCGGTTCCCACCGACCTGCTGGTCAGGCACTCACCTCCGGTGGCTACATTGCCGCTGCTTGGGGAAACTCCGGCAACTCCAACTGGGTCTTGCCAAGAAAAAGCAGTGGGATAAAGTTATAATGCGGCCACGACCAAGCGACCGACCCCCCCCCAAACAAAACAAAAAATCTCAAATACCTATTTTGGATTCAAAACAGCGAATTTTGCCGAAAAGCTACTAGTTTGCAGGCAAGCACACAGTACTACAACCCCAATTCCGAAATAGTTGGGACAAAGAGTAAATTGTGAATAAAATCAAAACGCAATGACTTTCAAATCACACCAGCCAGAATTTTATTCACAATAGAACAGAGATAACATAGCAAATGTTGAAACTGAGAAATTTTACAATTTTATCCACAAAATGAGCTCATTTCAAATTTGATGGCTGCTACAGGTCTCAAAAAAGTTGGGACAGGGCCCTGTTTACCATGGAGTAGCATCCCTTCTTCTTTTTAACACAGAGTGGAGGCGTCTGGGCATTGAGGAGACAAGTTTCTTGATTTTTTGAGGAGACAAATTCCATTGGAATTTGATCCCACTCTTGTTTAATACAGGCTTCCAGCTGCTGGAAAGTTTTGGGTCTCCTTTGATGGACTTTTCGTTTAATTATGCGCCAAATGTTCTCAATCGGTGAAAGATCAGAACTGCAGGCAGGCCAGTTCAGCACACGGACTCTTCTACTACGAAGCCATGCTGTTGTAATAGCTGCAGTATGTGCTTTTGCATTGTCCTGCTGAATTACACAAGGCCTTCCCTGGAATAGATGTCATCTGGAGGGGAGCATATGTTGCTCTAAAACCTTTATATACCTTTCAGCGTTCATGGTGCTTTTTAAAACATGCTAGAGTCCCACGCCATATGGACTAATGTATCCCCATACCATCAGAGATGCTGGCTTTTGAACTGAACGCTGATAACAGGAGGAGTGGTCTTTCTCCTCTTTAGCCCAGAGGACACGACGCCCATAATTTCCAACAAGAATGTCAAATATGGACTCGTCTGACCACAGTACACTTTGCCACTTTGCTACGGTCCATTTTAAATGAGCCTTGGCCCACAGAACATGGCGGCGCTTCTGGATCATGCTCAACAATGGCTTCCTTTCTGCATGATAGAGTTTTAGGTGGCATCTGTGGATGGAACGGCAGACTGTGTTAACAGACAGTTGTTTTCTTGAAGTATTCCTGGGCCCATTTAGTAATGTCAATGACAGAATCATGCCGGTGAGTGATGCAGTGGCGTCTGAGGGCCCGAAGATCACGGGCATCCAGTAAAGGTCTTCAGCCTTGTCCCTTACGCACAGAGATTTTTTCAGTTTCTCTGAATCTTTTGATGATGTTATGCCCTGTCGATGATGAGACCTTCAAAGCCTTTGCAATTTGACATTGAGGAACATTATTTTCCACAAGTATTCCACAATTTTTTTTTTCCGCAAGCCTTCACGGGTTGGAGAACCTCTGGCCATCTTTACTTCTGAGAGACCCAGCCTCTCTAAGACATCCCTTTTATAGCCAATCATGTTACACACCTGATGCCAGTTAATGTAATTACTTGCCAAATGTTCTTTCAGCTGATTCTCTTATATATTGATTGCTTTTTCAGCCCTTTTTTCACCTGTGTCCCAACTTTTTTGAGACCTGTTGCAGCCAGAAAATTTGAAGTAAGCTCATTTTGTGGATAAATATGTAAAATGTCTCAGTTTCAAAATTTGAAATGTTATCTATGTTCTATTGTAAATATCATATTGGCTCATGTAATCTGAAAGTCATTGCATTTTGATTTTATTCACAATTTACACTTCATCCCCACTGTTTCGGAATTGGGGTTGTACAACAAGACAACTCGACGGTTCACAAAAGAGTAAAATATTTACTTACCAAATCTTTGTGCTAAACACAAGTAATCCCACAACGCCAACGAAAATTGACAATGTTGTGTAAGAGAGCTCCACTTGACCGTGGTCGTCTGCGGGCATGTTCTGGTAGATGACGCAGATCTGCGCATGTCTGAAAGAATGCCGAAAGGACACTGATAAATGATTTTTTCTTATTTAACTTAACTGGGGTACATCAAGTTTAGCATGTTTTCCCACCCCAAATTACTGCTTACATATTTAAAAGTAGTGTTCATAACAGGTTGATAAAAACTGTTCACTTATCATTTTTAATTAATTTGTATGTAAGCATTTACAGTGTATCTTTTTAAAGAAATATAATGGTGCATCCTTGTTAATATGTAAATAATCCACAAGTGAACAATAAGTTTATCAACCATTTTCTTTGCATAGCTTTGTTCGATGGAAGCCTATGATAAGGAAATAATGGCTCTGTAATATGAAGCTTATTTCTTGATAACCCTGAAACGCAGGAAATATTGATGCAGGTTCTTGTAGACTGTGGCCAATATGGGAATGCATTTGGGAAATCAGAGGAATAGTAGCCAGAAGTCCTATATATAGGATGGAAATTAAATAGAATAAAAATTAATATGTCACACAAACGGATATGCACATGTAAACGCGAGTAGTAGAGACTTGAGTACAATCTAATGTTGAT